CTTCTGGAGGGGCACCTTCTGTGAACCCCCAGGAGCTCTCTCTTCCCTCCCCCCAGCAGGAGCTTGCTCTTCACCCCCCCCACCTCCCCGGCCCTGCAGGAGCTCCTCACCCGCCCCCCAACCCCCACGGCTGGATCTCCTCACCTCCCCCGTCTGCCCCGTCCGCCTCACCCCATCCCGCCCAGCCCTGGACGGAGCTCACTCTTCTCTCCCCGCCCTGGCCCCAGCAGGAGCTTGCTCTCCCCCCCCCCCCAGGGCTGGAGGAGTTCTGTGCCCCCGATGATTATTGGGGGGGGGCTGTGCCCCTGCTTGCCCCCACTTGTGCATGCCCCTGTGAGGGGGTGACATAACACGGCTGTCTGAGGACGAGCTGAGGGCCAGCCCTTGTAGGGTGACCAGACAGCAAATGTGAAAAATCGGGACGGGGTGGGGGGGTAATAGGAGCCTATATAAGAAAAAGACCCCAAAATCGGGACTGTCCCTATGAAATCAGGACATCTGGTCACTCTAAGCCCTTGCGAGGCTGCCCAGCCAGAGGCCACAGGCAGACTCTGGCTCCTGGGAGACCTGTCCCAGCAAGGAGAGGTTGGGGGGCTGGTGCCATGTAACGCTGGGGCTGCAGCGGTAGAGTCTGAGCTGCGGTTCACCGGCAGGGGGATGGTGGGGGAGACCTTCTGTCCCCGGGGGTATCTGGGCACTGCCCTCACAGCACTGGCCGGGGAAGGCTGTCGCTTTTTGTCTCCTCCTGCTTAACTTCTGTCCACTATTGTCCTAATTCCCGGACACATCCGATATTCTCTCCTACCCTTCTGCCCGCACCAGCCAGAACAGGACCTGAGCACACGTGTGGGAGATGGTTGCGTCTGAATCTGGGAGCGCACAGGCACCGTTATGATCCTCTCGTCTGACCTCCTGCCTAGCGTGGGCCAGATAACACCCTCCTCCCGCCCCATTTCCCCGGGATTCCTGCCCCGAGCCCAGTCGCTTGTGGTGGCACTAGAGCCCATCTCTTCAAAGGACCCATCTGGATTGGAAGATTTCAGGCAGGGCTGGCTGATAACCTGCCATCAAAACTGGTTTTCAACAGGCCACTCGGTTTTCAATTAAATGAATTCTTTGACGAAAAGCGTCTACTTTCCACAGAAACGTTCCGCTTCTCCTGAGGAAAAAGAACACCCGAAAACTGACACATTGCAATTCAGGGTCTCCTGGGAGTTGTTTGCCTCATGCCCCTTCCTAGCCAGGCTGCAACTCCCTAGCCAGGCTGCAACTCCCTAGCCAGGCTGCAACTCCCAGAATGCACTGCGGCTAGGAACTCCCATGGTACACTGCAACAGCTGAGCAAGAGGGGAGGTCAGGGTGCCTCATGGGAGATGTAGTCCAATGAGGGACGCCAGCCTGCAGAGAAGAATCAGGGCATGAGAAATCCAAACTACAACCCCCATGAGTGGGCACGTGGCAGCAATTCTGAATAGAATTTTTCTAGCTTCAGCCAAAAGTTTTTGATTTTTTTCATCAAATTTCCATGGCAGAAACCACAGCCCTAGGCAAGAGTTTTAGTTGGTGTTGGTCCTGCTTCGAACAGGGGATTGGACTAGATGACCTCCTGAGGTCGCTTCCAACCCTAATATTCTTTGATTCTTTGCAAGCTGTTCCAGGAGTTAATTACCCTCGCCGCAAAAACTGCACACCTTTCTTCCAGTCTGAAATTGCCGTCGTCATTTTGCAATGTACCTATTTAGTCAGCCCAAAAAAGAGGGCACTGATTGGGCGTTAGCCGGGGGGAGAGCAATCAGCAAAGGCTGTCAAGCCCCGAAGACACTCAGAACTGTCATTCTTCGAAACTCCCTGGATTTGTCTCCCACCCCTGGACAGCTCAGACCCCAGTTTCACTGGGGACTGACGCCCCGTTTCAAGTGACCCTGGAAGATTTAGTATCCTCCGGGGCCTGTGGGGTTTTGTTGCATTAAAAGTAATTGCCTCCAAAATATCCTTTTTTCTTTTTTGCTTCTGATTTCACAGATCCTGGGAGCCAAGCTAGAGAACAGGTTCTGACCTGATTGCTTGTTGCCCATAGCTACACACACGGAAATCTTTTCTGCGCAGCTATCAGCAATCTCCTTTAAGGAGCCCGTTTGACCAGGCTGAACAGTTTTGCATTCCAATGAGCATAGCTGCAAAACAATCAGCGCCAGCCTTCAGCCATCCCCTTTGTTTGCCTCTGTGCCTAGACAGCGTTGGGACCCGAATGACGGTACCTCCTCTACGAAGTCCTAAAGACAGGATCTACAATACCAGCCCCACTGGATGGGGTTTGCATGGCCTAGAAAAGCCTCCCGGGCCCTGTCTGCACACACTGGCTTAAAAACGGAGTTAAGGGAAGCGAGCACAGACCTTGGTGTGGACACTCAGATCAGTTTAGCATCTCCCCAGGTGAGGGGAATGAGTGGAGGAGTCAATGTCAGAAGGAGAAGTATGTGACTTGCTGGGGACTGTGGGAGGGGGCTAGTGGCTTTCCAGAGAGATGATCCTTCCTGAGCACTCAGGCAGAGGGAGCAGTGCCGGGAGCAGGAAGGCTGGAGTTCAGTGTTAGCCAATACATATATGTTACACATAGTATACACCATGTTAATAGGTATTATGTGCTTGGGATTGTTACAGTACACATTACACACTATGTACTGCGCACCGTACGCCCACCGTTCTGTTCACCCCACCGGGTATCCCACAAACCCTTTGCAAAGCTGAAGTCAGCCTTGACATTCGAAAATAGGACACGTGTCAGAGCAAAGGTGCATGAATACTTTCTCCCCAGTACACTTAGGGAGTCCTGTCATGGCTCACCACTATCTGGAGTGGAGTTTACCGAACTAGGCATGGGGCAATACAAGGAGGTACCTTCCGGACCAGTCCCGGGAATTCTAGCATCCAGAATAAAGCAAGGTACAGAACAAGCTAAGGAACTGGTATGAACTGGTGGATTGGATGTAGAGGAAGGTTGGTAATAAATACTGCTAGCTGAACTGCATCTCTTTGGAGCACACCTTGTGTGTAAGGTGACCACGCTGTGAGAATATGCTTCCCAGACAGAGGGGCTGTATGTCACATTGTACTATCTTTCGACAATAAACGGGGCTACGCTTGGTTATCTGGTCTCTTGAACATTTTTAAGACTGACCCGTGAGGGCAGTCAAACAATCGGCTGCAGCTTGTAGTCAATATGGGATCAGGAGGTGTTGGCTGAGATGCCCTGGCTAGGAGTCTTTTGAGCCTATATGGAAACGAGGGAGTGGATGGACCCAAAGCCGGACTGGGAAAACCCAACTACAGACACAATTCTGGACCCCCGAATGGGGTTAGTACTGTTTGGATGAGATGCATACACACTTCTAGGACAAAGGAAAGTCCAACACCTGATCGCTGGCAGGCTCCTCTGTACCCATTTGCTAGGATAAGGTCTATCTTCATCACACCATTTACTCTGGGAGTTCCTTGCCACACCATCCGGGATGCAGAACATGCTGGTCACTTTCCAGAAGCTGGTGATTCAGGGCTAAGTGATTTTGTGGTGCTACATAAAAGTGATTGTACCCTATCCAGCCAGAGATGGGATGGGCATATTAGAGCCATGGTTACTTATTATTTCTACAGCTCCAAAAATCTACCAGGGGCATATGAGAGAAGCATCCACCATCCTGAATGGTGCAAAGGTAACCCGCTGGCTCAGTGGTTGTTGCATGTCCCACTCAAGTGGTTGCTCCAGGAGAGGATAAGAGTCTACTAACACTGCCCACGAACGGAGTTACTCCTTTAGCTCAAGTGGTGAAGGCTCATCTTTTAGCACTGATGGTCCAGAGTTCAATTCTGCCTGACCACCCACCCAGCAAAGTGCCAGGTCACCAGAGCTAACGTGGTGGATTTCGGAGGTGGGAACATCAGGAGGGGACCGTGTGCTCCAGTGAGAGCTGTGTACCAGGGTGGCCTCATCGCTTTTTGCAAGCATGGACTGTTGTGCATATAAACACAGGGTAAAAAGTGATAGGAGAGAAAGAGTGCTCTCGAAAAGCTGACCCAGCATTAAGGAGAGCGCTTCTGTCACAATACCTCTGCCTAGGAAGAGGAGGGAGGCCAGGGGTCGGCATGCACAGCTGAGCATCTCACTAGCACCATGAGGAAGATGCTTCAGGCCATGCCCTGCACTCTGCCTCTGCCCCTTGCAGGAAGCTTCATCGAATCCTAGAATCTCAGGGGTGGAAGGGACCTCAGGAGATCATCTAGTCCAACCCCCTGCTCAAAGCAGGACCAATCCCCAACTAAATCACTTGCTGTCCACTGTATTCTGCTCACGCTTGTATTGGACCAGGTCCCATTTCCTCCCTAATAGGAGGACGATGCGAGGACTTGAACGACCAAGGTGTGACTGCAACCTGATATGGCATTAGCCTGTATTTGAACAGCGCTGCTTGATTGTGTCATGTTTAATCCCCCGCTCGCACTGCCCCAGCCTCACTGCTATTCAGCTGTATTTCGTTGCCTGCCTTGCCGTTTGGCAGAAGGCCAAGGCTGAGGAATGCAGAAGGGAAGCAACTTGCCTACCTTTGCCCACTGCTCCGAGTGGAGCAGCGGTGGGTGGGAACAGAACCCAGGAATCCTGGCTGGTGTTTAGAATAGAACCCATGTGTCTTGACTCCCAGAACCTCCGTTTTACCCACCAGACAATCCTTCCTCCCAGTCCAGTGAGATGAGAAGCAACATGACTTGGCTACGTTTACCCCGAGTCAATGGCAAATGTGAGAGCAGAACCAAGGAGTCCTGGCTCCCAGCCCTGTGCTGGGAATAGAGACCAGACTTCCTGACTCCTGCTTGTATCTTATCCGCCGGGCCACCCTTCCTCTCCCACCCCCCTTTACATGCCGTGATTAGCACACAAGTCCCAGCAGGTTACCCCATTGTCAGGAAACTGAAGAACACAGCAAACAGACACAAGGGATTGCGTTAGAGGCAAGTTTTATTGCTACATTATCAGCCCAAACAGGCAAAGATTCTCTGATTACATTCGATATTTGCAAAATCTCGTCTTGTTTTAACTCAAAAGGTCTCCCTGACTTCGGTGGTTAGGGTCATCGCTGGGGTTAGTGCCACAGCCATGACACCCATGCCCAGAGGAGCTTCCAGCAGCGGGGCCAGAATTATGCTCATGCCCAAGTTAATTGGGGCCATGCCCATGCCCATGCCCATGCCCATGCCCGTCACCCGGCTTCCCAGACCCTTCATCACAAGCCCCGTGTGAGATATCATGAGCATGTATGGCCAATTTTCCCAGCGTGGTAACGAACTCTTCGAAATGGAGATGTCCATTTTTGTTTTTGTCGGCCTTCTTAAACAGATCTTCTATGTATTCGTCCTCTGTCTTCCCGCGCTGCAAAAGAAGGAAGAGTCAAAGGAAGAATCCATTAGCAACACGGTGGTAGGAGGTTCCATTGCCCAGTGCCAGTGGTGGTCAATGAACCCTCCTTGCAACTTTTAACAGCAAAATACTATTCTGCGACTTCTGGATTTGGGGAGAGATTTGAAAGCTCCAAAGGGCTGCTAGACACCTGGCTCCCAGGGGGAGTTAGCTGACTGCTAATCACTGACAGCGAAAATATAAAAGTGAAAGTGCTTCGAGAAAACCCTCCATGTGTACCATGAAATCCCCATTCATCTCTCTGAGTCTACTCAACCATTTCTTTGGTCCTTACTAGCTGGGCCTGCTTTTCCATCAAGGCATTTGCCTAAGACAGGAAGAGAGAAGGTCCAGAATAAAGTCCAGGCTCTCTTGGTCTCTGGATGTTTATCGACCGAGTGTTCTTCTCCACGCTAGTGGAGCAAACGGTGGGTTAAAGCAGCATAAATCGACGCTCAATAGCATTTACTTTCAGATGAACTTCTACTTCCCCACTTGACTCTCAGGACACTAATGTGGTGAACATCTCCCAGAGAAGTAAAGCGAAGGAAAAGGATAGGCCAGATCCCCAGGGGCGTAAAGCACTATCATGGAGACTCCCAGCACCTCCCACAGACAGCCCCATGTCTCTGCTTACCGGGAGAGTGCACTCCAGAAATGACTTGGCATGCTGTTTTAGCAGCTGCTTGAACTCATGCTTCTGCAGGAAATCATCCGAGTTGGGCTTTTTTTCAGAGTACTTGTGGTACACTTCGATTACCTCATTCAAGGCTTTTTCCAGTTTGCTTGTCATCTCGCTGAGTGTCTAGGGAACCTGAAACAGGAAGACAGTTATCTAAGAAACTGTTAGACTACAGAATGCTCTCTTCTGTCTCGGTCCGCCTTGATCAACGCTTGTCCAGTCTGCGGAAGGTACCAAGAACAGTATCATGTTATTACTGGTTTTCGAATAGCTCGGAGAGGGCTGTGCATAGACAGTCCCTGCCTCTAACTGGGGAGTATTGAGCCCATTTCATAGATGGGGAATTGAGGCTCAGAGAGATTACGATCACTCAGGGAAGCTATGGCAGAGTGGGAATTAACCCCAGCTCTCCTCAGCGTTAGTCCAGCAGCGTACCCATGAAGGCAGCTTTTCCTGCGCAAAGCAGGCGTTTGGATGTTCCCTGACTTACCTTTCCCATGAGCCCTGCGTCTGACCCCCCCGCTGTTCAAACACAGAATCTAAAGCCCTTTCCGTGTGCCTTGGAGACTATCCTGTACTTCCAGCAGCATTTCCAACCCCTGCTTCAGTGGGGGGGGGGGATCCTGCTTCGTGATCTCCCTAAAGCAGCCCGGCAATGTCCCCTGTTTATAAAGCACTATACAAGGCAGGTGGTTAGAAAAGCCAGGGTGTGGTTCAAATAAATAAATAATAGGGCTACTTATCGTAAACAGACTTACCTGAGTCTTAGAGAGCCGAAGAGGAGACGATCAGTCAGGTGTGGTGAAGCCAGCACAGAGATCAGATGCTTTTATACTCTCCTTGAGCTGAGTTTAGTACACACAGAGACAACGCCCTCAGACGGTGGCATTATTGTTTTCATTCTTTAAGGCTCTCTGGAGTCTTGTGCAACGCGCTGCACCCAGCACGCCCAGGCGAGAATTCTGGAACCGGTCCAGAAAGTGACACCTACCGGGGTCGCTTCAGAGGCACAATCTGGGCGTTTGCTCCGTGCGACCAGCCGGCACGGGGTACAGAAATCCTGAGGCTGGTCTGTGCGTTCTAGTTCCCCAAACAGCATTATGGGGGGGTCTCAAAAGCCAGTGCCACGCTGGTTGTCAATGTCATTGCAAAGCAACTGTATGGATGTTGTTATAGAATATCAGGGTTGGAAGGGACTTCAGGAGGTCATCTAGTCCAACCCCCTGCTCAAAGCAGGACCAATCCCCAGACAGATTTTTGCCCCAGATCCCTAAATGGCCCCGCTCAAGGATTGAACTTACAACCCTGGGTTTAGCAGGCCAATGCTCAAACCACTGAGCTATCCCTCCCCCCCACACTGAAAATATGTTCTTTGAGTCTGTGTCCAGCGAAGGTGAAAACCAAGTTCTGTCAGACAAGAGATGTTTAATCTGTAAAGCTGGTCCACAGTCGGCCTCCTACCACCAGGGTATGTCTACACTACAGGATTAATCCGAATTTAGATAATTCGAATTTGGGAAACAGGTTGTATAAATTCGATTGTGCGCGGCCACACTAAGCACATTAATTCGGTTTTTAACCACATTAATTTGGTGGTGTGCGACCACACTACCCCATTACTTTAACCACAGTAATTCGGTGGTGTGCGGCCACACTAACCCTAATTCGAATTAACAAAATCGATTTAGGCACTACTCCGCTCGTCGAGGTGGAGTACAGAAATCGATTTTAAGTGCCCTTTAATTCGAATTAACTGGCTCTGTAGTGTGGACGGGTGAAGGGTTAATTCGGATTAACGCAGCTAAATCCGAATTAAAGTCGTAGTGTAGACCAGGCCAACTGAATGCAAAGGAAGGATTGTGAGAACTTCAGAAAGAAATGAAGAGGAAGAGAAAAACAGTGGGGCGGTCGGCGGGGGGCATAGAACCTCACTTCGAAGGATTGCTCTGCTACATTTGGGGTGCAGAGAAGACACCCCCCACCTAGGAAGTCAATGGATAGCGGATTTGCTGTATGAAAGTGGGATCTCAACCAGGCTTGGTTGAAAATGCTGCCAGATCTTCAGCTCCTATAAATCAGTGTCGTTCGTTGATTTCAATGGCACAAAGTTGACTTAATACCAGCTGGGGGCTCTCTGACCCATTGACTTCAATGGAGCTCTGCCTCTTTACGCCAGCTGGGGATTTGGCCCTCTGACTTCAATAGATCCATGCCCCTTTACACAGCTTAGGATATGACTCGATGTCTTTAGTTTCTCAAGCCAAGAACACAATGTTCCAAGTCAATTTCTGCTTCCTGTACATGTGGGCGGTAGGTAATGGCCCATATTTCTTCATTCTCTTGCTCACACTTTTAAGCCCATGAACTATCTGCTCTGCCCTCCATTCTGCATCTCCCTAGGGACTTCTCCTTTCTCAATGGTTTTCTAAGGGAGTTTCTTGCAAAGGAGGCGAGGGCTACGCCCCTGAAATCTGCCCAAGGCTTATTAAATGGGTGGCATATCACAGCAGCGTTTTTCGTTATCTTACTAGGAGCAAAACTGAGACAAAGTCAGCAATTAGCCCCTATTGGCCTGGCCTCTTTTAACTCATCTGGTAAAACAGCAATTTGTCACTTCCCCTGAATTCTCTGAGATGGACCTTTTTCCCCACTAGAAATCCATTCTCCATAACCAGCATTTTGCACGGCCGAGCCGTGTCACCTGCCAGCTTTTTCCTGCCTTCAGTAAAACTTGTGAGACTTGAAAGAAAGAACCGGCCGTTGCTCCAATAATTCCTTCTCGTGATGGGCGGATTGCACGCCCCTCTTCCCTCCACTCGTTCTGGAAGGGGCATCCCAACCTTGTCCACTCAGGTCCCGATCCCCCACGCATGCTCCATGCACTTCATGGGAATGGAGCAGTAACACGAAGTCATTCCGCCTGAACCGATGCCAAAGTCTTGCCTCGACTGGAGACGCTGCCAGCCGGGCGTGGATGAGTTGCCAAACTAAAGTCATCACAGCACATGATAAAATCTTTGGCCATTTCAATCAAGTGCATCATCCTTTTGATATAAAGTTCAATGCCACCTACTGTGTTGTGCAGCCTTTTCTATTTCTCCAAGGGGTATGCCTCAGGAACCTCAGTTCGCAGGCTTGACCCCTTCCTTGGCCCACTCTGTAAGGTAACAAAGACAGCTTAGCGCAGACAGTAACATTCAGCCTGCCTTGATTTCAAAGCATTTCACCCTCTCCCCGACACTCCTTCACACCAGTTGTACTCCCGGTCGAGGAACACCCCATTAACGTGACCATCTGAGTCAACCATTCACCCGTAGCCGTTCACCCTCTCCATTACAGGGCAAAGTTTAGCTTCTTTAAAAGAAACCTTCACACTGGAAGGTCAAATGGCCCATGCATCTGTCTTTAAAATATGTCCACTGGCTGCCTTCTTCAATGGAAAATATCCTCGCCACACTTATCGACTGATTCATAGATTTTCTAAGGCCAGAAGGAGCCATCTAATCCAACATTCTCCATAACCCAGCCCACAGAATTTTACCCAGTAATTCCTGTATCCGGCCAACAGTTTGTGGGTGAACTAGGGTATGTCTACACTACGAAATGAGGTCGATTTTATAGAAGTCGATTTTTAGAAATCGATTTTATACAGTTGATTGCATATGTCCACACTAAGCGCATTAAGTCGGCGGAATGCGTCCTCACTACCGTGGCTAGCATCGACTCACGGAGCGGTGCACTGTAGGATGCTATCCCACAGTTCCCGCAGTCTCCGCCGCCCATTGGAATTCTGGGGTAAGCTCCCAATGCCTGATGGGGCAAAAACATTGTCGTGGGTGGTTTTGGGTACGTCATCAGTCGCCCCTCCCTCCGTGAAAGCAACAGCAGACAATCGTTTTGCGCCTTTTTTCCATGCAGACGCCATACCATGGCAAGCATGGAGCCCGCTCAGCTCAGCTCACTGTCACCCATGCTGTTGTGAGCATTGTAAACACCTCGCGCATTATACTGCAGTATGTGCAGAACTGGGCTAAGAGACGCCAGCACGAGGAGGATTTTGATGAGGACATGGACACAGACATTCCTGAAAGCACGAGCTGTGGCAACTGGGACATCATGGTGGCACTGGGGCTGGTTGATACAGTGGAACACCGATTCTGGGCCCGGCAAACAAGCACAGACTGGTGGGACCGCATAGTATTGCAGGTATGGGATGATTCACAGTGGCTGCGAAACTTTCGCATGCGTAAGGCCACTTTCCTGGAACTCTGTGAGTTGCTTTCCCCCACCCTGAAGTGCAGGAATCCCAAGATGAGAGCTGCCCCAACAGTTGAGAAGCGAGTGGCGACAGCCCTGTGGAAGCTTGCAACGCCAGACTGCTACCAGTGAGTTGGGAATCAATTTGGAGTGGGCAAGTCTACTGTGGGGACTGCTGTGATCCAAGTCGCCAATGCATTCACTGACGTTCTGTTGTCAAGGGTAGTGACTCTGGGAAATGTGCAGGTCATAGTGGATGGCTTTGTTGCAGTAAGGTTCCCTAACTGTGGTGGGGCGATAGACGGAACCCATATCCACATCTTGGCACTGGACCACCTTGCCAACCAGTACATAAACCGCAAGGGGTACTTCTCAATGGTGCTGCAAGCACTGGTGGATCACAAGGGACGTTTCACCGACATCAAGGTGGGATGGCCAGGAAAGATGCATGACGCTCGCATATTTAGGAACTCCGGGCTGTTCGAGCAGCTGCAAGAAGGGACTTAGTTCCCAGACCACAAAATTACCGTTGGGGATGTTGAAATGCCTATAGTTATCCTTGGGGACCCAGCCTACCCCTTGCTCCCATGGCTCATGAAGCCTGGACAGTAGTAAGGAGCAGTTCAACTATAGGCTGAGCAAGTGCAGAATGGTGGTAGAATGTGCCCCAAGCAGAAAAAAAAAAGCTGCGATTGCGATCGGCGGCAGCTCTAGCGCCGCTTCCTTCTACGGGGGCAATTCGGCGGCAGGTCCTTCGCTCTGAGAGGGAGTGACGGCCCCGCACCGAATTGCCGCCGAACAGCCGGACGTGCCGCCCCCCTCTTCATTGGCCGCCCCAGGCACCTGCTTGCTACGCTGGTGCCTGGAGCCGGCCCTGTTAGTGCGGGAGGACGGCATCAGCTCAGAAAACGTCATCGCCAGTGCGTTTTTTTCACCTTCGAATCTGCAATAACCGCAGAGACGGAGATGAGAGGGGGAGCGTAGCAACATTTGCACCTGGGGGGAGATAAAAAGGGAGAGTAAAATTGGGTTGGCTTCTTATGCCTTCATAACATGTGGGAATGTTTTCAAACTGCAGCGCCCCCCTTTCCCAGAGCAAGCAATGGGTTGGGTTTCACATTTAAAAGGAGGGGCTGCAGTATTCGGGTAGATGTGCAGCACACACCTACCCCCACCCACCACGTGGCTATTCTCCGGGATGATCCCTTCTCCCCCGCCTCCCCCCCGCCGTGTGGCTATTCTCCGGGATGATCCCTTTTAGCCAAGCACAAACAGCCCAGCATGAACTTTTACTGTTCCCTTACAAAAATTCCCCTATTTCAACCAGGTGACCATGAACACTATTGCTTTTAAACACTGTACTGCAGTTACAAATGTTCACTCACCAGAGGTGTTACCAGATGTGCCCATTACTGTGGGGTATGCTCATTTATTCGGGTTACTCTTCTGGGGAAGGGGATTCTGTAATCCTATCAATGTGCTGCTTGTGTCACTTGTGTTTTCATATGGAGCTCTACTTCTCCCTTCTGCAAGTCCCCTCCCAATGGAGCTATCCTGCA